GATATAACCAATAGGCCCAGGGGTGAGAATCTTTGTTTTCTTGATATTGAGCTTTAACCCATATTGAAGGCTGCAGTCCTTGACCTTCTGCAGCAAGCACTTTAGATTCTCCTCAGTTTCAGCAAGTAAGGTTGTGTCATCTGCATAATGCAGATTGTTGAGTCTTCCTCCAGTCCTCACAAATTCCTCCTCACAGAGTCCAGCCTCCCAGCCTCCCAGATGATCTGTTCTGCACAGATTGAAAATGTATGGAAATAGGACACATTCCTGGCAGACACCCTTCCTGATTTTGAACCATGCAGTGTTTCCTTGTTCTGTTCTGACTACTGCCTCCTGGTCTAAGCACAGGTTTTGCATAAGCACAATCAAGTGTTCTGGGATTCCTGTTCTTCTCAGAATCAGCCACAGTTTCTTTTGATCCACACAGTCAAAAGAAGACAAAGCAAAATAATATAACCAATATGCAAAGAGCTAGAGTCAAAGAATAAAAACGGAAGAACTCACTTGGCATTTCAAAAGATGTAAATATTGAAAAACAAGTTCATACCTCAAGCTGCAATACTAAAAGATGTTACAGGCAAAATCTTGAATGATCCAGGAAGCATCAAAGGACGATAGAAGGAATATATACTGTACAAAAATGAGTTGTTCAGCATTAAAAAATTTCAGAAAGGACCATATGACTATGAACCAATAATTATAAATGAAGAGAATCAAGCTGTTTTGAAGGAATTGGCAAAAAATAAGGCTACAAGAATTGATGAAATAAGACTATACTTTCAGGGATCATTTCTATAGTTCGTTACTAGAGAGGTTTCTCTGATCGTGAAGAAAAAAAAGAATTGATGGAATACCAGTTGACATCTTTCAACTAACATATGCAGCCCTGAACATGCCAGGAAATTTGGAGGATGGCTGCTTTGACTGACTGGAACAGATCTGTATTTGTTAATTTCCTCAAGAAAGGTAATCCAACAGAATTTGGAAACTTAGAACATATCATTAATATAACATGCAAGCAAAATACTGCTGAAGATCATAAAAAAAACCACAACAAAAACACCACCATGGCAAAAGGGATATCATTGCTGATGTCAGAACGTTGCTGATTGAAATCTGGGAATACTAAAAGAATGTCTGTCTATATCTTAATGACTATGCAGAGGTGTTTGTGTGGATCACAACAAACTATGGCTAAAAATGAGAAATACGGGAATCCCAACAACACATAACTGTGCTCATATGAAATCTATACCTAGGCCAAGAAAATATTTTCTGAATAAAGCAAGAAAACACCAAAGGTTTAAAATCAGGAAGGATGTACATCAGGGATGTATCCTTTCTCCAGATATATTCAGTCAGTTTGCTGAGCAAATATTTTGTAAATTTTATCTCTATAAAGAGAAATGTGGCATCAGGATTGGAGGAAGATTCTTTAATAGCTTGGGTTAGGCAGTTAATGTAATCTTGCTTGCTCAAAGTGAAGAGAGCTTGAAATGTTTGCTTCAGAAAATCAAAGACTACAGCCTTCAATATGGATTACATCTCAACATCAAGAAATTAATACTCCTCAGCATGGGGCCAACAGACACCGTCAGAATAGATGGAGAAATGATTGGCATTATCAATTATTTTGTCTTACTTGGATCGTTCAGCACCCTTGGAATCAGCAGTCAAGAGATCAGGAGACACATTATTTTGGGCAAGTCTGCTATTAGGGACTTCTCTAGAATTCTGAAGAGCAATTATGTGATACTGAAGATGAAACTGCATCTGATTGAGGCCATGGTCTTTTAAACTACCTGCTATGCATCTGAGAGTTGGATAATGAACATGGATGATAGAAATAAATTGCTGTCTTCAAGTTGTGATGTTAGGGAAGAGTACTTAATATCACTTGGACTGCCAAAAGAACAAACTTTGAAAAAGTGCCAGACTGCTTACTTCTTGGAGGCAAAGATGATGGTACTTTGTCTCTTATACTCTTGGGAATGTTGCTAGGAGAGGCTGTTCCTTGGAAAGGACATCATACTTGCAAATGTGGAGGGTCAGTGAAGGAAAACATACCTCCAACTTATATAGATTGACAGTGACTACAGCAGTAGACTCTAGTATGTCAGAGATGATGCGGATGGAACACGCCAGGTCAGGGTTCAGGTTTGTTGTTCACAGGGTCACAGTGAGTCTTCCACAACTTGATGGCACGCATAAACAACAATAGGCCCTAATGTATGAGTCATACATTCTGACATTCTAATTACTAGTGAATATTTGCAGCTGTTTCTTTTTAATTTTGAGTTGTGTCACTTCAGCATTTAGAGATCTTGGAAATTTTGTATTGTTTATGGCAATAAAATCAATTGCAGATGTTCACTGTTGGGTAAGTACATTCTAATTTTAAGAACTCATTTTCTAGCTCTATATTAGATAATTTGCTGCTGCTTCTCAAAGATTTTAACTGGCCAATTCCTCCCCTCCCCCCCAGTATCTCTAGATTCTTCTTCATAGACTGTGTTAATCCTAAAGCTCTGCTGAAATTTGTCCATCATAGGTGACACCAGCGCTATTTGAAAATGTGGTGATATAGTTTCCAGTTTCATAAGTACAAACTGATGAACTAAATATGGATTATAAGTACCTTAATTTCTCATAT